TAACCATCTTCACTTTGATATTTATTCACTCAATACACTGCAATCTTTTCAACACCAAACTCTTGGTCTTGCTTGGCATTTGTAGTGAATCACTACTACATTAAGTGTGTTTGCAATAAAGAGTAAGACTGGGCTTTAGTTTAAGATTTTTTTAAATTTGTTATAAAGGCGGACCTGTTTTTATCATTTTCTTGTGAGTACTTGCTCTATCCCTGCTACAATTTGATTCTTTATTGGTCCAATAAAGTTGTAAATGAAAATGAAATCTACTATCCTTTCAAGGCATTATTAGTTTATCAGTGAGTTCAAAACAAAGTTCTTATACAAATCTTTTTAGTTTGTTATCTAAACTAGGAGAGTACTCAATAAGTTAACTAAATAGACTAAAACAAAGTTACTAAACATATTTTTTCAGTTTTGTTAACTAAAGTTCTTTGGTTAATATTAAAATGTGTAGAAAATATGAAAGTAATAACATTAAACTGAACAAAGTTCTTTGGTTAAAGTATTCCCCCCGATTTCTTCCAAGTGTTTGCATATGTTATTTAAGCATGTATGATAAATATTTTGTTGGGATCTAATAATTATCAGGAATTGAGAGATGGATAGGTCTTGGATAAAGGATGGAAACAGGTTGTCTGAAGAATACAGAAATTGAGTTGATGAGTTCTTACAATTTTCTATGCTCAACTCAGAAAATCGTAGATCAATTAGGTGTCCGTGTAGAAATTGTTGTAACATGGAATTTCATAAGCCTGAACAAATAAAAGTACATTTGTTAAAAGTTGGTTTCTTGGAAACGTACCTTGTTTGGACTAGGCATGGAGAGACTGCAAAAACTCCAACCTTTAATCCCTCTCAATCAAATTTTCATGATCAAAATGAAATTGGTGACATGTTAGGCGATGTTTATGAAGAACTAGATGGTAACCCAAAGAGGTTTAAGGATGTAGTTGAAGATGCTGAGAAACCATTATACTCAGGTTCAAGTTATACAAGGCTTTCAGGATTATTGTTGTTGTATAATGTAAAAGGAAAATATGGATGGTCTGATCAAGGGTTCTCAGCTTTATTAGAAGCTCTATCGAGTCTACTACCCACCGATAACACCATTCCCAAGTCAATGTATGAAGCTAAAAAAATAATGAAGGTGTTAGGTTTGGATTACCAAAAGATACATGCTTGTCGCAATGATTGCATCCTCTTTCATAAGTAACACAGTGATCTTGAAAAATGCCCTACGTGCGGAGAGTCTAGGTGGAAAGAGACAAAGAATGGATCCATAACAGCTACTAGTAGAATTCCTGAGAAAGTATTGTGGTACTTTCCTCCAATTCCTAGGTTCAAACGTATGTTCCAGTCTACTAAAACCGCTGAAGACATGACATGGCATGCAGACCATCGCATTAAAGATGGTAAATTGCGTCATCCTGCTGATGCTCAAGCTTGGCATCACATTGATAAAATGTGGCCTGATTTTAGTCAAGATCCTAGGAATCTGAGGTTAGCTCTTTCAAGTGATGGAGTAAATCCACACAGTTCACTTAGTTCTTCGTATAGTTGTTGGCCTGTTCAGTTAGTCATCTATAATCTCCCCCCTTGGTTGACCATGAAAAGAAAATTCATGATGTTATCTCTTTTAATTTCTGGTCCTAAACTTCCTGGGAATGATATAGATGTCTATTTAGAACCCCTGATTGATGACCTTAAAACCTTGTGGAATGATGGTGTAGATGTTTTCGATAGTTTTAGAAAGGAGACCTTCAGGTTAAGAGCTATATTGATGTGGACCATAAGTGACTTCCCAGCTTATGGTAATCTGTCTGGTAGCACCGTGAAGGGGTATTTTGGATGTCCTGTTTGTGGGTCGGGCACTCGTTCAATATGGCTGAAATGTAGTAAGAAATGTGTCTATATGAGCCATCGTCGCTTTTTACCGAAAAACCACAGGTTTAGAGATTTAAAGAAAGTCTTCAATAATCAAGTTGAGAGAGAGGGACCTCCAGCAATCCTCTCCGGTGAAGATGTTCTTAAGTTGGTTGAAGGAATAAATTACAAAAGTGGGAAGCGCAAGGACCGCAAAAGAAAGGGAAAGCGTGATCACAACGATGGAGACAATAGATTGTTCAAGCGCAAATCAATTTTTTTTGATCTAGAGTATTGGAAGCATTTATTGGTTCGTCATCTATTAGATGTGATGCACATAGAGAAGAATGTGTGTGAGAGCATCTATGGAACGCTTCTTGATCAACCGAGCAAAACAAAAGATGGACCTAGAGCTCGAGATGACCTTGCTCATTTGAACATTAGGAAAAACTTAATTCCTAAAGAGAATTCCAAATCATTGCCTCCAGCACCCTACACCCTGAGCAAAAAAGACAAACAAAAAATTTGTGAAACCATACTGCAAATAAAAGTGCCTGATGGTTATTCATCAAACCTGAAAAGCATAGTTTCTGATGATGACAGTCACCTTCAAGGTCTTAAATCTCATGATTGTCATACCTTGATGCAACAAATACTTCCCTTGGCCATTCGGAACATGTCAGTGGCAGAAAATGTTACCAATGCGATAACTAGTATGTGCTTATTCTTCAACAGACTATGTGAGAAGGTCCTAGATCCTGATTCACTTGATGATTTAGAGTCCAGTCACCACATCACCATGTGCTGTCTTGAGCAATATTTTTTGCCATCATTTTTTGATATAATGGTTCATTTGACAGTCCATCTTGTTGCTCAAGTGCGTCTTTGTGGCCCAGTTTTTCTCTGTTGGATGTACCCTTTTGAGAGAAGCATGAAATTCTTAAAAGGGTTCGTCCGCAATCATTACCATCCTGAGGGATGCATTGCCGAATGTTATGTGGTAGAGGAAGCTCTTGAATTTTGTGCCGAGTATATTTCCAACCATGAATCAATTGGGTTGCCTACACATTCTGATAATGATGACCCAATTGAAAGGCCTCTAGGACGTGGGGACACTAAAATAGTTGATTGCTCATTGCTTGAGCAAGCACATCGTACTGTTCTATTTAATACGCCCGAAGTTCAGCCGTACATAAAGTAAGCACTCCATTGTTTATTTCGGTTTTGTCTATTTTGTGTATATTATATAATCTAACTCTTTTTGTTAAAAAAATAGGGAGCATATGTTCGAGCTGCAATCATTTTATGATGATGGTTGTATTGAAATAGAGCATTATCGAACATTTGTTAAGTGGTTTGAAGAGAAGGTTACTCGTTATTAACTTATGGTTACTGATCATATTTAAAATGTTACATAAATATACTGAATATTTAGCATATAATTTGTAGGTTCTTAATGATGTTGCAAATGGAATTGATGTGGACAAAACTGTCAGATGGCTAGCTAAAAAACCAAACACAACAGTGACAACTTACTCTGGTTACAGTATAAATGGATTTAGTTTTGCTACAAAGGAGCGGGATTTAAGCCGTGTTACACAAAATAGTGGGGTTAGTCTTGTAGCGGACTTGAATTACTACGGCGTTCTAACTGAAATTTGGGTCCTTCACTATCTGATGACTAAAAGGGTGGTTTTCAAGTGTGACTGGGTAGATAATAGGCATGTAGAAGAAGATAAGTTGGGCTTCACAATACTTGATCTAAATAAGATAGGTCATAAAAAAGATTGTTTCATTTTAGCCGCGCATGCCAAACAAGTTTTTTATGTGAAAGATCAACTTCATCCAAGAAAATCAGTGGTTTGTTCAGTTGGTCAGAAGGTTAGTCACGTTGCAGACGCTGGATGTGATGAAATGGTTATACATGATCCCCTAACTTCACATTACCCAACACAAATTCTTGATTTGGAAACCCCAGATGATGATGGAATTTATGATAGAGTACTTTGTGATGCGAATTAATAATCCAATTAGTCAAAATTGGAATGAATTCATTGCTACGTTTCAGTAAGTATTACTTTTACATAACTTTCTGGTTTATTTTACTTCAATTGTGTATTATTTGTGATTTGTAATTCAATTCAAAGGAAAATAAGTTTATTTGTATGTATAATCTTGTTATTATGTAGGATACAGTTTGATATGAAGAATCAAAATGAAGACATGGACAATGTTGATAGGGATGAACTGGATGGGAGGCCACGTAGGCGAGAAAAGACAAAGAAGAAGATGATGTTGAAGAAAAGTGGTGATCATAAAGTGATTGTGGAAGTTAATGAGCTTGGTGTTTTAGCAGGTAAGGGCTGGACGGAACTGTCTAATTACCTTGGGGTTATAGTCAGGGACCATGTGCCCATAGTGTACCATGACTGGAGAAGAGTCCCGCTTAAGTTGAAAAATGATATGTTGACGCATATTCAGGTAAGAAACTATATGCATGTGAGCTGCTATTAACTTTGTCAATTACTTTTTTAGTCTTTAAGTGTTGAGTTCTTTCAGTTTATTTGTAGTCTTTAAGTTTTTTATTATTCATTCAATAATATAATGTTCTTTTGGATGTAGGATCTGTTTGTGTTGCCTACTAATTCAGAGAAACATATACTCCAAACAATGGGAGCTGCACATAAAAATTTTCGGTGCACTTTGTACACTGAATTCATTGCACAACACATGGATGAGCCCGAGAAGTTAAGCTTACCTCCAAAAGAATATAAGCACATTGGTACTGATGAATGGAGAATATTTGTGAAGAGGTGCTTTACAGAAGAATTCCAGGTGATAGAACTTACTAATGCATTTAATATAAGTAGAAACATTTGTGAATATATGTAATAATTTTGTTAAATGCTTTTAGGAAAAAAGCAAAAAAGCATGTGAAAATCGAAAGAAGAATATATATAATCACCGATTAGGTTCAACAGGTTATGGAGAGTTACTTTTAAAGAAGGTTTGTTCTAATCTTCATTTATTAAAATTATTCGATTGTGTATATGAGTATTTAGATGATATACCTTTTCTGTTTTCAAAACTCAAAGAAAGAACAACTTGGAAGTACTGTCAACGACATTGATCGAGCGGATACATGGCTCTTGGGAAGAGAAAGAAAAGATGGTGGATATGATCCCGAGGTTTTGGAAGTTGCAGAAGAAATAGTAAGGGTTGTAATAATTTTATGAATATGAACATGCATCTTTTAGTAAAAATTTTCCCAGTGTACTGAGGTCAATTAATTGACTCGTTTTATGCTCTTTTTAGAATAAAAAAATGTTGTTTGACACAACTTGGTAATGCTCTAGTAATGCTCTGATGTAACATGTTTGTTTGTGTAGAAGGAGCTCAAAAATAAGGTGAAGGAAGGGTCATTTGTGCCTCGTGGAGACGATGATGTGCTCTCAGTTGCTCTTCAGAAAAAACCAAATGGCAGTAGAGTACAGGGGTTGGGGCACTTCATTACCCCAACACGATACTTTTACACGCCAAAGGCAACCAAAACCGAGAAGGACAAAGCACAAGACGTATGTGATAGAAGGTATGAAATGATGTTGCAGAAGTTTAGTGAAATGAAAGATCATGTGTCCAATGCTTTTAGTGAAATTGGTAGTTGCAGCAATGCCAATAAATCTCAGAAAAGAAAGGTACACACATAACTTCTGCTGGATAATTTTGCACCTTATTTACGCTTTTATGTTTAATACGTATTTGTCATTTTAAGGCTGGTGATGACGTTGAGCAGTCGATACTTAGTCCTTTGAAGGAACGCTGCAGTGCTCCTAGAAAATCTCCCAGGTTGAAGTTGAAACATGCTGAAATGGAGGGTAATAATGAACAACCCGAGGGTGAGAGTCATGGAATGCAGAAGGTATGTACAACTACATCTCTAAGTGAATGTTTAATGGAGGCTGATGGAGGGGACATGCCAGTCCAGTTTGGTACTTCTGCTGCCATAGCAATACCAAAGAGGGCATCACACCAAGCGGTTACTAGGAGGTCACAATACATAGCTGATCTTTTGGATATTTCCTTGCTTGGACAAATGACTTTAATCCCCTATAATACCGGGTAAGTAATCTCTTTTGCAAGTGACTTGTATTTGCAAACAATGGTGCTTTTGTAATTACATATAGTTTCATTGTTATGTAGAAATCATTGGGTGTTGGTCGCCATCGACATGGCGGCTGAAACGATTTACTACCTAGATTCCTTGGGAGGAATTCCATCGAAGGATTTGGAGGAAATCATGAATCAGTTAAGTTACATAGGCCCTTTAAATGATGAGAAAATATTGGATCGGTTGAATTTTAATAATGACTGTGTTTCCTTTTCAGAGGGGTGACGATTAATCATGCCCAAAAATCCAAGAAAAGGTTGAATTTAAAATGGGTGAGAGTGATGGTATGTATCCCTTGATGTTTATTATCACTTTTAGTATAAATTAGCGGCTGTGATTTGTACATGAGATCCTTTTGACTAAAGATCAGAAATCTGAACTGGTGTTTTGTACTACGGAAAGGCAGTTCACTAAAATTAATGGGTCTTTGTTATGAACCATGGTTGTTCAGTTATTTTCTGAATTTAGATACTCATCTCTTGTAAGTTGCAACCGTGAAACTTCGCTGAATCTCAACTGTGCAGTCTGTGCTACCATTTAGATGTGACACCTGTTAATTTTATTTAATCTGAATGTGTTTAGGAGCTGTTTTTACCATAATTGGAACTGCATTTTTGAAATATGGAAAGACAGATCATCCCTTTTGCAAGTGAGTTAAAAAAGTGAATTATTGCAATCCATTCAATACTTGACTGTATTATTTTTTTACTATAACTTGTTCTTTGTTTTTAGTAAATCTTAGTTTGTATTTAATGTCTATTTAAATTGAATATATGCAGTGCCCAAAGAAGTGAATTATTGCAATACATTCAATACTTGACTGTATTATTTTTTTTACTATAACTTGTTCTTTGTTTTTAGTAAATCTTAGTTTGTATTTACTGTCTATTTAAATTGAATATATGCAGTGCCCTAAGCAAACAGGAGGAGTTGAGTGTGGTTACTTTGTGATGAAGTACATGAAGGATATTGTATCTGACGTGAATCGTTTGAAACAGAATGTGAGCGCAATTAATTAATTAGTGTATCTTGTAATGATAGTAAGTGCTTATTAATTTAATTTTACATTGAAGTTCTCTACCGTCAAGGAGTATACCGAAGATGATATTTAACAAGTGCGTGAGGAGTGGGCTTTGTATGCTGCTACTTTGATAAAAAAGTAAGTTCACATTTAAAATTTACCGAAAATAAGTTTCACAATATATGGATGTAATATTATATTTTGTTTGATATGTAGTGCGCAAGCGGATCCTACAAAGGCTTGATGATATGCACGGGGAGATGCATTTCTGATTATTGTTGATGGCGGTTAGAATGGTCGGTGTTATGTTATGTTTGTAGAATGTAGAGGCAGGTCAAACTTTTGATAACTAAACATTGGTACCTGTTGGGAATGTGACTTGTTTGTATTTTAGCATCTTCAATGATGCTTGGTAGTAGTTTTTTTGCTGAATTTCAATAGCCGGTTTTTTGCGGGAATATTGCATGCTGGAATTTTTCTAGATCTTTTATCCGGCAGTAGGAAATGTAATTGAACAAGAATGTGAAATTGTTACTTAATATTATATGTTAAATGATGTGTTTTGGGTATCCATTAATTTTTGGATGTTATAATATTTATGAATGAAGTAAGCAATAAATTTGAATTCTACTAAAGCTACCATGGGCATATTATCTAGGCCTATATAGGCCCAATTAACAAAACCAACCAAGTGACATTGAAGTGTCATAAAAATCTATGATGCTGAAAGTATCATAAAAATGTATGATACTGAAAGTGTCATAAAAATCTATGATGCTGAAAGTGTCATAAAAATCTATGATGTATTAATGTCACAATGTATTCTTGATGCATAAATGTCGCTATTTTAGCCGATAAATTAGTGTCACTATTTGCTGACACAAACCCGTCCCCGCATCAGTGACACTAAATATAGTGTCGCTAGCCGCCACTTTCCCCGACGCTTTTTTAGTGTCGCTGAAAGTTTCTGCGACACTAAATTAGTGTCACTATAGGCGCTTTTTCTACTAGTGATTAAAAAATACGAATGATTATTACGGTGTAGTTTCGTTGCTCATCGGATACCGTCGGTTGTCACGTTCAAACATAATACAAGCATGTAAGTTCAAATATCATTATCACAAAGTACATACTCACATGCTATCCCTACACTTCACACATATAGCACTCATACATAAGTTAAAACATGATCATATATAACATTAATTAACGCATAAGAAGTAGAAAAAGTAAGGACGTTACAATCCCTCCCACCTTATAAAAGTTTCGTCCCCGAAACTTAGAATAACTCAGGGTAACGCTTCCTCATGGCTTCCTCGGGTTCCCATGTTGCCTCCTCAGTTTTGTGATTCCTCCACAGAACCTTTACTAACGTTATCTCCTTATTTCTGAGTCTTTTAATCTCACGGTAAAGTATTTTCACCGGTTTCTCTTCATAGATCATATTTGGTTGAGTTTGTATTTGCGGGGGTACAAGAACATGTTTTGGGTTTTCAAAATATCTTTGTAGCATCGAAATGTGGAACACATTATGTATACCTGCCATTTCTTCAGGTAATGCCAACTCATAAGCAACCTTACCCACCTTTTTGGTAATTTCAAATGGTCCCACAAATCGCGGGTTGAGCTTACCCTTCTTACCAAACCGCACCACTCCCTTCATCGGAGTGACTTTCACGAATACACGTTCCCCTTCTTGGAACTCAAGGGCTCGTCTCTTAGCATCGGCGTAACTCTTTTGTCGACATTGAGCTGCCTCAATCCGTTGTCGAATGGTTTTGATGGCCTCTGATGTCTCCTCGATTATTTCAGTTCTACCCTCGAGTTGCTCCTCCATTACTCTCTTTCCCCCACTCTCAAACCACGTGATAGGGGACCTGCACCTTCTTCTGTACAATGCCTCGTATGGAGCTTTACCAATGGTAGCTTGGTAACTGTTATTGTAATCAAATTCCGCGAGGCTTAAGTATTTCACCCAACTGCCCTGAAAGTCGATAGCACATGGCCTTAACATGTCCTCAAGAACTCGATTGACCCTTTCGGTCTGCCCATCTGTCTGCGGGTGAAAGGTTGTGCTGTACTTCAATTTTGTTCCCAATGACCGTTGCACACACTCCCAAAAGTGTGATGTGAATTTTGAGTCTCTATCGGAAATTATAGTCTTGGGAACCCCGTGTAACCGAACTATTTCACGGACATACAACCAGGCCAACTTCTCCACATTCATCGTTACCGTAATGGGAATAAAATGGGTCAACTTGGTTAATCGGTCCACAATTACCCAAATGCCATCAAATCCTCCCGTGGTTTTTAGTAAACCCACAATGAAATCCATTGAGATATCTTCCCATTTCCACTCTGGAATCTCAATAGGCTGTAATTCTCCTCCCAGCCTCTGGTGTTCTTCCTTTATTTGCTGACAGGTCAAACATGATTGTATGAAATTTACCACATCTTTCTTCATTCCTTTCCACCAAAAGCTCTGTTTGAGGTCTCTGTACATCTTGGTTACACCCGGGTGCATTGAAAAAGGTGTTCCGTGAGCCTCCTTCAGAATCTTCTTCTTAAATTCTTCGACGTTTGGAATGCACAATCGTCCTCGAAATTTAAGTACGCCTTTATCATCAACCTGAAAATCAGAGGATTTACCTTTGTGAATCCCTTTCTTGATTTCTACTAGATCAGGATCTTCTTCTTGCTTGCTCTCCATATCCTCAAAAATTGTTGGTGTTGCCATAATCGTCGACAAACGTCCATGCATTACCATCTCCAAGCCAAATGCCTCGATCTCCTTTCGTAGTTTGGGATGTATAGCCTTCATCAAGGCTATCGATGCACGAGTCTTTCTACTCAAAGCATCAGCGACTTTGTTAGCTTTCCCTGGATGATAAAGGATCTCACAATCATAGTCCTTAACCAGTTCCAGCCACCTCCGTTGCCTCATGTTTAGTTCTTTTTGTGTGAAAATATACTTCAGGCTCTAATGGTCAGTATAGATCTTACATTGCACTCCATAGAGGTAGTGTCTCCAAATTTTCAAAGCATGAATAACTGCCGCCAACTCCAGGTTATGAGTTGGGTAATGCTGCTCATAATCCTTTAACTGTCGAGAAGCAAATGCAATAACTCTGTCATTCTGCATAAGAACTGCTCCCAACCACATCTTGGAAGCATCACAGTAGATCACAAACTCTTCTGTTCCTTTAGGTAATGCAAGAATGGGTGCAGAAGTCAAACATTCCTTAATCTTCTGAAAGCTTTCCTCACATCTATCGGTCCATTCGAATTTCTTCCCTTTTCGGGTTAAGGTTGTTAATGGAAGAGCAATTTTGGAAAACCTTCGTCAAAGAACGAGTGGCGAAGGAACGAGTGGAGGTTGTTAGTGGCGAAGGAACGAGTGGAGGGAAGCCTTCGTCAAAGAAGTTCAAAGAAAAGTGCTATAATTGTGGCAAGCCCGGTAACCGTGCTAAGGACTGTCGTGCTCCTAAGAAAAAGAAGACCGGACAAGTCAATATTGTGGAAGACCTCTCCGATGACATGAGTGAAATGAATCTATATGCCATGGTATCTCAATGCAATTTAGTGGGTAACACTAAAGAATAGTGCATTGATACTGGAGCTACCCGACATATTTGTGTTAACAAGTGGATGTTCACCGATTATCAACGAGTTGGTAACGAGGAACAACTGTTTATGGGTAACTCCTCTACATCTAAAGCGGAAGGCCGCGGTAAAGGTGTCCTCAAAATGACAAGTGGGAAAACTCTTACCTTGAACGATGTGCTACATGTCCCTGACATACGCAAGAATCTAGTTTCGGGCTCCCTCCTTAGCAAGAATGGCTTTAAGCTAGTCTTTGTGGCTGATAAATTTGTACTTACTAAAAATGATGCGTTTGTAGGGAAGTGATATCTAAATGATGGTCTCTTCAAAATGAATGTACTTACCATTATACCCAAACTTGTTGATAATAATAAAGTGGGTTCTTCTTACTTGGTTGAGTCATCTTCTGTTTGGCATGCTAGATTAGGACAGGTCAATTATGATACTTTGCGTAGACTAATGCATTTAGAGTTGCTTCCTAAATGTCATATTGATCCTAATCACAAATGTCAGATTTGTGTTGAAGCGAAAATGGCTAGAAAACCTTTTCGCTCTATTACAAGAGAAACTGAACCGCTAGACCTCATACGGATCTATGTGATCTTAAGTATGAAGAAACTAGAGGTGGGAAAAGGTATTTCATAACCTTCATCGATGATAGCACTAGATATTGCTATCTGTATTTGCTAAGAAGCAAAGATGAAGCGATTAATGTTTTTAAGCATTATAAAGCCGAAGTTGAAAATCAACTTGGTAAGAAGATTAAGGCACTAAAGAGTGATAGAGGTGGTGAGTATGAATATCCATTTGAATCAATTTGTTTGGAAAGTGGAATTATTCATCAAGTAACCGCTCCTTATACGCCTCAATCAAATGGAGTAGCCGAAAGGAAGAATAGAACTTTAAAGGACATCGTTAATGCCATGTTAGTAAGTTCTCGTGCACCAAACGACTTGTGGGGGGATGCTATTTTAGCTGCCAACTACATTCTTAATAGAATGCCTCACAAGAAAACTCTCAAAATTCCATATGGGTTATGGAAAGGGCGCAAGCCAAGTTTTAATTACTTGAAGGTGTGGGGATGTCTAGCTAAAGTAGCTATTCCCAAACCTAAGAGGACAAAACTTGGACCAAAGACCATTGATTCTGTCTTTGTTGGATATGCACAAAATAGTAGTGCATATCGTTTTCTTGTCCACAAATCCCATAACATGGATATAGTGGCCGATACTTTTATAGAATCTAGAGACACTACATTCTTTGAGAATGTATTCCCTTTCAAAGGAGATTGTGAAGTTGTCTCCTCCGACATGGATGTTTTCATTCCAACCCATGTCGAAGAAACAAACTCACATAAGAGGCCTTTTGATTCTATGAAAGATAACAACGAAATAGCGCAAAAATGTGAAGGGGGCGCAACAAAAGGGCTAGAAAATCAAAAGATTTTGGACCCGATTTTGTTGTATACCTTCTAGATGATGAACCTCAAACTTACAAGGAAGCCATGTCCTCACCAGACGCTACACAATGGCAAG